TAAAAACAATTTCTGTTGTCATGATCTGATTTTCACATTGAACTAGATGGGAGGAAGAATGGTACAACTTTATATGAGGTCTCTAAAAAGCTAAGTTCAAATTTCAGTTCTGCCACTGACTTCGCCTATGACCTTGACTAAAGCTGACCTTTCTAGGCTTCATTTTCCTCATCTACAAAATGAGGGGGTTAGACCAGGTGACCTTTAAGATTTCTTCTTGCTCTAAATCTATTCAGTTAATTTGTTTATTCTAAGTGACAGCTGAAATAAATATGACTCTGATTTGGCTTTTATCTGGAAGAATAAATTCAAGGTGAATAACAAAGGTACATGGCTAGGGTAATTGTTTTTGCCTAGACATGTCTTAATGTAAATCTATTTGGAGAGTCAATTTTTCAAGATAACACAAGATTAGTGTGTTGTTGTTGTTTTTCCATTCATCCCTGTTATCAAAGTGGAAAAACATAGCACAATAAATTTGTAGAAATTTCATTTGAAAATGATTAAGAATCTCTGAAAAACTGAATATAAGAACTTTGTAACACCTAAAGAATATTTCAAAAAAAAGAGAATATTTCCTCACAAGTTCAGTTCAATAAAACTCAAGTAATTCAGACAAATTGCATTAGCAATTTCTAGTAATTTTACTACACACAGAACATAAAATTTCCAGAGCTTTTGAAGCCATAATAAGATGCAAGGGAGGCAGGAAGGAAGTATTTTTCCTCTCAGTTGAAGGGAAAAAAAAAACAGAAATGTGTGGAAAGAGTGGGATGGGATGGGATTTAAATCTAGACAGCATTTGCATTTTTTTCCTTTCCATCCTTTATAAATCTAAAGTTAACATGATATTTGGAATTATGGGGGAGAAAAGACTAACCCATTTCTAACTTCTGACCCATAAATCCCACTGCTGGACATATACCCTACAAAAGTCAAAGACAGAAAGTTCCCAAATATCCTAAAGTATTCATAGCAGCATTTTTTTGTGTTAGCAAAGAACTGAAAGTGGGTTACCATTGATTGGGAAATGACTAAACAAATTGTAATACATACATGAATGTAATAGACTACTATATAAGAAACTATCAATTCAGAGAAGCATAGGAAGACATGTAAACTAATATAGGATGAAATAAGAAGAACCAATAAAATAATATGTACTATAGCAATGTATGGAAAGAATACTAAAATTAAGGTGAAATCTTTGCAATTGTCATGGCTCATCTTGCCCCCAAGTTTCGTTGGGGAGGTAGGGGGCTATGTGTATGGAATGTCTCATAAACTGTTGAATGCAAAGTGTGTCAGTTTTTCTTAACTGTTTTTTTTTCCTTGCTATAAGGGAAGGTGCCCTAGGAGTAATACATATGGAAATAACTTCAATGTAAAAACAAAAGACTTCAGTAAAACTAAATTAAGATACTCTGTTACATGAACCTAGAAGTGTATTTTGTATAAATTGGTTTACTGATATAATTCTTATGCTTGTTGTATTAAATGGAAAACTTAAATTTATTCAGACAGTAATTACAAATACACTAATTGAAGGTTACTTTTAAATGTCATTAATATTTGTTACAAATGGAATTACAAAAAAAAAAAAACCACAAATGGAACTACCAGCTGCTGAACTTTAAGGAACTGAACATCCTTTAGCTTTTGCCAATTTTTAAGAGGCCAAAACTTGACAACAGAAGAAACCATTAGCATCTTAGTAGAAATAAGAGAATTGTTATGTTTTCCAGACTTTGTGTCCTCTACTTTTTCAAACCAATACCAAAAGTGTTCATTTTTAACTAAGGAGTTAAAATTTAAAAAAAAAAAAATAAGCAAAAAGCTCATGGAATAGAACTTTTGCCATGTGGACCTCTTGTCAAATGCGTCTCATTTTCTGAGCTGTCACTATCAGCAATTTCTGCTTTCTCATTTTTATCATCTCCCTAGACTTGTAAAAACTGAACTTAGAGAGTTGCCTGTAGTGGAAACACCATTTAACTGTGAGTCAAGAGACCTGGGTTCTGAGAACCAGCTTTCCTGTTTGTTAACTGTGTGAACTTGGGCAAGACGATGGATTAGCAAGCATTCATTCAGCACCTTTTACTTCTAGGCTCTAGTAATACAAAGACAAAAATGAAACCATTCCTGCCCTCCAGTTTAAATTCTATCAGGAGAGACAACTTAGTCATTTATATAAATATATGCACCATTAGCACAAGGCAATTTTGAGTGGGAGGGCACAGCTACACAGAGGACAAAAAAAACCCCACGTGTAGAAGGCTGTATTTGAGTTGAATTTTGAAGGAAACAACCTTTCTGGGACTCACTTTTCTCCTATGTAAAATGAGAAGGTTATGTGATCTCCAATATCTCTTCCAGCTCTAACATTATATAGAATGTTAGCAGTCTTGACAGATAAAATAACTTACATTTACACAGAGCTTTAAAGTTTGCTATCAGAATCAGTTGCAAGTAATAATAACAATAACTAACATTTATAAAGTTCACTAAGTGCACTTAGTTTGCATAGCCCTTTGTATGTATTATCTTTTGATCTTCACCTCAACCCTATAAGGTAGGTGCTGTTATTATCCCCATTTTATTGAGGAGGAAACTGAGGAGGAGGTTAAGTGACTTCCCCTGGGTCACAGAGCTTGTAAGTGTCAGAACTGGGATTCAAACCAAAGCCAGGTCCACTTTCCACAATGCCTCAAAGGACCTTACTAGCCCACCAGTTCTCTAAGTATGGTCCACATTCCTCTGTTGAAACAAAACAGTATTAACATTTATAAGATGACAACATCCGTTCCTTGGTTTCTAACAGGAATGATCTGTAGCAGACTGTAAGCTTGCTAAGGGTAAGAACTGTTTCACTTTTGCATTTGTATCCCCAGTGCCTGGCACTAACTGGAACAAGGCAGATGCTTAATAAATTGCTTATTAGGTGGCTAGGTGGCACAGTGGATAGTGCATTGGGCCTGGAGTCATCGAGGCCTGAGTTCAGATTCAGCCTCGGATACCTTATTAGCAGTGTGCCCCTATATAATTCTGTTTACCTCAGTTTCCTCAACTGTAAAGTAGGGGAAATAACAGCACATGACTCGAAGAGTTGTTGTGAAGATCAAATAAGAAAATATTTGTGAAGAACTTAGCACAGTTCCTGACATATCATAGGTATGATATAAATGCTTGTTCCCTTTCTCTTATTGATTGATCGACAATTTAACTTTTAAAAATCAGTTATCACATCACTGTTGTCTCATCAAAAGCAAGGCAATTCATCCCATAAATAAAGGTTAGGTTTTTGTTCCTTCCTTAGGTTTTCTGCTGGCATAACCCTTGAGAAACCAGTGTCACTCCCACATGATATATCAGGTCCTACCAAGTTGGAAAAGTTTTCAGTGTGGGACCTTTTGACAAACTATTGTCCAAATGCCAGCCTAGCTAAATTAAAAAGAGTAGACATCAGAGGGCTGGCTTCCCAATGATAAGATTTGGGGCCATAGTGCCTCATGAACGTTTCTATAGAATAGTTGCAAAATGCATTGGTGGAAGAATAACTTTATGTTATATTAAATTTCATCTAATACCACATCCCTTGAAACCCCAGATCTTTTAACTATTAAAGTTCTAAACTTTAATTAAGTTCTAAACTTAAAGTTCTAAAATTTAAAAAAACATATCTTTGATATGTTAAGCAAGAATAGGTGGAAAAGATCATCTTTCAGGGTCTTTTGCTAGAAGGAGCTAGAATCAATGGTCCCTAATGGTCCCTTCCAGTTTTAAGATTCTAGAATTCCACAGGTTTGAGACATGTTGAGTCTGAAGTTCTAACTTGTAAAAAACAAGTTTTTTAGAACGCTTCTGTGAACTGTTAACACTGGCTTTTGATTCAATTAATCAATCAGGAAGCCTTTGTTAAATACCTACTATGTGTCAGGCACCACGCCTACCACTGGAGATACAAATACAGAAGTGAAACTGTCCCTACCCTCTAAGAGTTTGTAGTCTACTAGGAGGATACAACATACATCTCTGGAAGTAATGGGCAGAGTAGGGAGTTTTGGCTAGGCCAAGGGTGGGGAACCTGTGGCCTTCTAGACCCTTGGGTGCAGCCTTTTGATGGAGCCCAAGTTTTACAGAATAAATCCTTTTTAAAAGGGATTTGTTCTGTGAAGTTTGGATTCAATCAAAGAGTCACACTTGAGGACTTAGAAGGCTACAAGTGGCCTTGAGTCTGCAGGTTCCCCACTCCTGGCTAGGCAGTCACAGTGACTGCAATGAGAACCAGACTCCAGTAGCTCTCATCTGTTTCTCTTGAGCTTGAAAAAGTTAGGGGTCTGGGCTACTCTATTAAAAGACAGACAGACAGACAGACATATAGAGACAGAGAGAGAGAGAGAGACAGAGAGAGAGACTGCAATGATGAGTTTGATGATCTTAGAAGAATGCGGATAGGCTTGCATAAAATAATGAAGAGTGAAATGAGCATAATCAAGAGAACATTGTATGCAATAACAGCAATACTGTTTTAAGAACAAGTTTGAGTGACTAAGTCAGTTCGACTATTATAATGCCCAAATTAACTACAAAGGACCTATGAAGGAAGACATCGTCTGCATCCAGAGAAAGAACTGATAAATAGATTGATAGAATGGTTCTACATATATATATATATACATATTTGTGTGTAATGATAACCATATCTAGAGCAATGAGGACGGGGGTGAAGAAAAAGAGGGAAAAAAGAAAAAATAATAAAAATAAAATAAAAGACAGGCTAGAACATTATTGAGTTTCCGTGCTGACAAAATTACTTCTGTCTCTCTGTGGCTTGAATTGAATATGACAAAAAGGGAACACTTAGAAAATAAGTAATAAATGAATACAATAACTGAAGCATTCTCATAATGTTCTTAATTAGGATCTGAGCTTTCCCACACAAGCTTTATTTTCCTTGTCTGCCATTCCAAACACTCTTTGTATGTCTTTTCCCAACACAGGCTTCAGATACAGGTGAAGATGAAGACGACCAGCCACTCAGTTTGTCCTGGCCGACCAACACACGCAAACAGATCACCTTCCTGATCGTTCTTCCCATCGTGTTTCCATTATGGATAACCCTCCCTGACGTCCGAAAACCCGTAAGTATAGACATCTTAAATGTAGAGTAGATTGGAGTAGATTTGCAAAGCAAAACAAGATAGTTAGATGTTAACCTTGCACCTGAACACCTGACTGGCTTTCTGCCCAGGTGTATGTATGTGTATATGTATAGAAATATGTTTACGTTTGCTATTATTTTTGCTGGACACCACTAACCCAGTGGCTATTCTTTCATTTCTAAACAAGGAAATAGGGACCAAGTTTGGAATTCCACATGATTTATTTACAATGAAGTAGAGAAAAGCACAAAGTATTGGTTAAGTTAAAAGGGAGAATCATCCCATGTTAACGTTCTAAACTCTGTTGTTGGGAAGGTCCCTCCCATAATTTATTGGGTAAAGCTAAGAAATGTAAAGAGAAACCACACTGCATATGGAAAATACCTTTAAGAATATATTAAACAGGGGCAACTAGGTGGCACAGTGGATAGAGCACCGGCCCTGAAGTCAGGAGTACCTGAGTTCAAATCCGGGCTCAGACCAAACACTTGACACTGTGTTGTCACAGCTGTGTGACCCTGGGCAAGTCACTTAACCCCAATTGTCTTAAAAAAAAAGAATATATGAAACAGATTTGCTATTTAAGTATTTATATTCTATTGAGAGAACCTTGCCATTAAGAGGAGAAATAAGTTCTAGGGATTAAATTATGTTAACCTAATAAAACAGAATTTAGTCTCAAAGAAGAATATAATATCCCACATATAGACATATATAGTTATATAGATATACATCTATAAGTATATATCATATGTTATAATATACATATCTATATTTAAGACATACTCAAGACTCGCATTAAGACTTTTGGTATATCTTGTGTATGTGTGTGTATACATATATATGTATGTGTATGTGTGCATATATATACACAAATATATACATACAGCTAGCTGTATGTGTGTGTATCTATATAGACATATTTACATATATGTCTATATGTGTGGCAACTGGAGGGGATAGTGGACAGAATGTTGGACTTGAAGTAGAGAAGACAATTCAAATTTTCCTCAGATACTAACTAGCTATGTGACCCTGGGCAAAGTCATTTTACCTCTTGTAGCCTCACTTTCCTCATCTGTAAGGTTGTTGCAAGAATAAAGTAAGATAAAATTGAGAGGGTACTTTGCAAACCTTAAAGTTCTATATAATGCTAACTGTTGTTTGTTTGTTTTATTATTAGTATTAGTATTTTTGTTATCTGTATACAAATAGAAATGGAAAGGAAGTAACAGATTAAAGATATTTCAAAGAAGAATTAATGGTTTGGTGACTTAGATTCTGGAAGTGATGAAGAGAGAAGAATCTATGAACCTGATGACTGATTAAATGATACTGACAATAACAAATTAGAAAGGGGAATCTATATGGAAGGGAAGATGACTCATTTGGTTTGGGACATGTTGAATTTAAGATGCTATCACTCCTCTACTAACCAACTAGAGCTGGACCATGAACAGCTTCCTTAATCTCTCTGAAAGTTTAGTTTGAACTAAGTTTCATTGGCAATAAAATGAGCATACTGGAGCATGCTTTAACTCTACCATTCTATACTTGCACATGTAATCTCAACAGTATCAGAGGTTTCCACCCAAAAGATCCATATAGGGAGGGGATTCTGGAAAGATGATGGAATAGGTCAAAAGATTCATGTAATTGTGTATATCATCAAACCTGTTTTGAGCATGACTTTGTCAGTGTAAGAATAAATGAATGAATAAAAAAATTATTAAATATTTAATATGTGCAAAGTGCTGGGGATATAGACATTGCAAAGTTTGTGAAAAGTGTTAGTGTTATGGAGATAGAAATGTGGATGCTATGGGGGAATACATCGATAAAGTGGACATATTCTTGCCATCTATCTAGCAAAGAGAATAAAACAAGTACACAAATAATTGTAATACAAGGCAATATGTGATAGCAAGATGGCTACAGAAATATTTTCAGGCAAAAAGTTAAGAGATCTGGATTCTAATCCTGCCCTTCATAGATGTGTGACCTTCAGTATGTCACTGGTTTCCTTCTGAACTTGTTTCTTCCTCTGTAAATTGAAGATGTGGAACTAAATCATCTCTAAGGTCCTTTCTAGTATGAGCATTTTATAATACAAGTGTACTATAGATAGTAGCATGACTACTATGAGAGGCTTGTAAAATTCAACAAACGTTTACTAAGTACCTACTATGTATATTTGTGGAATAACTCTGTAGAATAGGTCAACACTGCTGTTTCTGAGAAATGAGAGGCCAATCTATGGATGATTAGGACCATTGACAAGCATTTATTAAGTACTGTGCCAGACGGTAATGTGCTGGTTCAGTGGAAGACTTTATCTTCAGACTCTATTCACACTTCCTCTCCTTCACCTCAGGAGGTGGAAAAAAATTCAAAGGCCTAATAAAAAGTGACAGAGTTTACTTGGAAATAATGATAGAAGATTAGAACAATAGTTCAAGTTTCACATGGCTTTTTTTCTAAAAACTTTTTTCTCAGTATATTTTATTTCATTAAATATTTCCCAATTACATGTAAAAAAAATTAACATTCACTTTTTAAAATTTCGAGTTCCAAATTCTCTTCCTCTCTCCAGCACCTCCACCCTCCTTGAGAAAGCAAGCAATTTGATACCAATTATACATGTGAAGTCATACAAAACTTATCTCCATATTAGCCATGTTGCAAAAGAAAACACAGACAAAAAAAATTAAGAAAGTTTAAAAAAGTTTGCTTCAATCTGCATTCAGAGTTCATCAGTTCTCTCTCTGGAGATGGATAGTATTTTTCATCATAGGTCCTTTGGAATTCTTTTGCATCATCGTCTTGATCAGAGTAGCTAAGTCTTTCACAGGTAATCATCCTTACAATACTGTTACGATGTACAATATTCTCTTGGTTCTGCTCCCTTCACTTTGCAATAATTCATATAAGACTTCCCAGGTTTTTCTGAAACCATCCTGCTTGTCATTTCTTATAGTCCATCACAATTATATATCACAACTTGTTCAGCCATTCTCCAATTGATGAACAACCCCTTGATTTCCAATCCTTTGCCACCACAAAAAAAATGCTGCTATAAATATTTTTATTCTTTGTAGGATCATGAAGAATTCAACATGACTGAATGACTGAAGGACAACAACATAAATATTTTTGTACAAATAGGTCCAAATAGGTACAAATAAGGAAAGCCCTTTTTCTCTGATCACTTTGGGAGAAAAAAAATTTTTTAAAGGTTAAAAATATAGGTTACAAATAAAACTTATAAAATTTACTGAGCCCCCAAGGAAGCTCTTGATTTCACATGCAGAGGGGTAGGAGAGGAGGGTTGTCTGCCAGAGAGATGAATTGGATGTAATCCTTTTTCCATAGGTTCTATATCCCCCATCATACTCTCTATAGCAGAGATTACCTTCTCTGTGACATGGACCCTTTTGGCAGTCTGGTGAAATCTTTGAACCCCTTCTCAGTATGATGTTTTTAGATATCTAAAAGAAAATACATATGACTTCAAAGAAAATCAGTTATAAAGAAATAAAGATGTATTTTTCCCATCCAAGCTCACAGACCAGACAATATATATCCATGGACCTCTTTGAGGTCCTTAGACACCAGCTTAAGAGCCCCTCCTCTCTAGGAAAAAAAAACACAAATTCAGGATACAATTAAGATTATCTCACCTTTATTCAATATACCATTGTTTAAAAACACAAATAACCAGTAAGCAAATTTCAAATAGCAAAGAAACATTTTGTAATGAACTATGATGCCTGTTGCATGCAGCAAGAAAACAGAATGGAGAAACAGAGCAGGACAGATTTTTCTGTTCTTCCAAGGGTTTCCCCTCTCAATCCTTTTCATAAGCCAACCTTCAGGCCTGTTAAAGGAAAAGGCCACAGTCTCAGAAAAGCTTAGAATCACCCACCCTAGAAAGAGCCTTCCAACTGCCTCTGCTGCCACTCTTTCTATCCAACTCTTTCCCCTTGCATCCTTCTTGAGAGAGAATGTTTTGAACTGCTGTTGTAATGGAAAATTCTACCATCTAATTGCAATGTTAGATTCTTCTTTTCCCACACTGGGAAAAAATGCCCTTCTCAGGATCTTTAGTGATTTAATCCCCTTCACAAGGCAGTCCGTCCAAGCCTTGACATTACGACTGTAACAAATATTAGAAAGATAGTAGGAAAGGTGACATCTTGTTTCTCCCACTCCATACTCTGATTCATGGGCATCTAGTTTGTGTATTGTCCAAATTATCTATTGGGAAAAAGAAAACATAAGCATAAAAAAATAAAGAACAATTCAAAGTAGTATGAGCTAAGTAATGAAGGAATGACATAGATCGTGGGCACTACAGAAGGTAGTAATTCTCTTTTGGATGATAATTAGCAAGCAGTATATTTGTTAGGTTTGCCCTGCTAAATTGCCAAATGCCACCAGAAGATACTTGTAGGGGAGGGAGGGAGACAAGGAGAGAGGGAGAGAGAATTGCTGATTGATGGATCTTAAGGTACCATTCTTGATACAGCATGTTTTCAATAGCTTTTAAATTACCAACAGAGATGAGCAACCAAAGCTTTGACAACAATTACAAAGAAACTCTGATTGTTGATGCAGGAATCCAGTTTTAAAATAAACAGTACTCCCACTGGGGTTTTTTCTGCTTCATCTATATGCAAATTATATGACAGTATTTGTTAGAACGTGCATTCTCAGATAATTAGTATGGGCTTCACTTTTATAGGTTTTTTTAATTAATGTTTTTGTTTTTAAACTAAAAGATAATTAAGACATTAAGCATAAGGAAGAATGTATCATTTATTAAGACCATAAATGATAAATCAAGTAACAACACTAAAGTCAGATACTCCTCGGTATCTAACTTAACTCTTTAGATTAAGTTAATAGAAAGTGAGCTATTCATTTAACCAAATCCTGAAACATGGAATTTTACAACTGGAAGTAAAACTTTAAAGATC